GGCAGCATAGTGGCGCAGTGGTCAGCATTCCTGCCTCGCAGCGCTGGGGCCCTGGGTTCGATTCCACGTAGGTGCTATCTGTGTGGAGTTTGTATATTCTCCCTGTGTTTGCATGGGTTTCTTCCTGCTGTTTCGGTTTCCTAAAACATAGTGGTAGATAAATACGCTCTGGAGTGTGTGAGAGAGTGTGTGTGTGTTGCTTGTTGCTCCCGCTACCCCGTGACCCTGAACTGGAAGAAGTGATCAGAACATGGATGGACAGAAAGGAAAAGTCTTGTCTAACTTTCTAGAATACTTTGAACAAGCATTAAGGACATTAGATAACATGATAGCATCTGACATGATATATTTAGAATTTCCAGGAAGCATTTGATAAGGTCTCTCACAGAAGATTGACTCTCAGATTTAAAAGCCATGGGAATCCACAGTAATGTATGAAGATGGATCGAGCACGGCCACTCGAACAGGAAACTGTTATCTTGTGGGGGTCTAACTTTTGTAAATGGGTGGAAGTGAGCCGAGGGGTGCCACAGGGATCCGTTTCAGGCCTGTTGCCCTTCCTGATCTAGATCATCAATCTAGGTTCCGTTTACAATAGGAAACTAGTCAACTTTGCTGATGATGCAGAAATAAGAGTGACAAACACAGAGGCGGTGGCAAGAGAGTTAAAAAACAAACTTACACCATCAGGCCAATACGTGGCAAATGAAATTCAACACTGATAAGCAATTAACACCTGTAGTACGAACGTACACGATGCATATCGCATGGGTGCTTTGAAAAATGCAGAATTTTACAGACCAAAGAGATCTGGGTGTTTCTATAGATTTTTCTATGTCTTCATCAAGACCATGTGGGGAAGCAATAATGATTGTAGCTGAATTGGTTATATACAGTAGCATAAGTCCTGGGATGCTGTGATTCAGATCTACAGTGTACTGGTAAGATCTCGTCTAGAGTACGGTATCGCAGAAAATAGGTTATATCCTTAAGAGACAAGAGAAGACTAACAAAAATTAGCCCTGATCTCAAGGGATTGTTCTGTATACGGATTGAAGGAATTAAATGTTTTCAGTCTAGAACAGAAAAGATTTGATCCAGGTACAGAAGATACATGGGCATTTGGATACGGTCTACCTCGAGGACAGTTTAGAATAGATCGAAAAGAGAACACTCGATACCAGCTGGTGTAATTCAGTTAGGACGGAGGATAGGAAACACTTCTTTACTTAGAGTGTTTAAAATCTGGAACAACCTTCCTATCCAAGTGGTTTAGGTCCAAACTCTGGACACCTCTTTAAGAAACAGCTGAGTGAAATTTTAGACTGACTGGTGTACTCAAGAACAGAATGACCAAGATGGGCCAAATGCCCCCCTCTCTTTCAGAGAGCTTTCTTTTGTTCTTTATTAATCCTATAAATCTTAGAAAAAAAGTTGTAGAAGAAATGATGAGAATAAACTGTGTGTTTGCTTCTCCGAAGGGGTAAACTGTACTTTTTTCACTATAGAACTGGCTTTATTGAAGCAGCTATTCTAACATACTGCTCATTAACAGGTCAGAAATGTGAAACCATGTTCTCTAGGATTTACATACACTTTCATCACTGCTCTGTTCACCTTGCACTTGATGAACTGAGGTTATTAGCTTGATACAATTGGGCTACATTGGGCTAGATACAGGGAACAAGTTCTGTTTGCTGTGGGATTCTGCCATCTGAGGAAATTGGGCACCAGCATCACATACCTTTTTCTTCTATAATATGAATCACCCACAGGAAATGAAAGTAAATGCCCACTTACTGCCAAAGTTTCCAGCACAGGCTTGCATGCTCATGTATCTCAGCCTTTGAAAGTGGCATTTTTCTATGCTGTTTGATGTAATCCTTCAAGATAAAGCTGTCTAATGAATAAAGTCTGATAAATGTGGGTTGCTTGATTCATAAGTCGTCTACCAGTGGTATTTTGTGTAATGAACCCTGGAAACTCAATTGTCAGCAGGATTGCAGTCCTGACTTTGAAAACCTTGTGCATTGGTCAGTAACAGTGGGTTCTGTTCCTTAGTAGCAGTATAAGAATATAAACTGCGACATTTTTACATTTGGTACTTGTGATGGAACAAACACCCTAAACACAGACTGTGAAACCTGATAGTGTGTAATCCTGCAATTCTTGGATCATTAATAAGCAAGATGTCTGAAAGGTCTCATTAATTCAGCTTGTCTAAAGTGCTTCAGCAAATCTTGTCTTCACAAATTTGAGGATTACAAGTAAAATTTTCATAACACAATGATTATTGTTTGATTGCAATGTGAGTCTAGATCAAACTTTTTGCAAATGGCAATGGATATTAAGAATATTAGTAGGAAATTTTTTGAATTACTATTTTCTTTGTGCATGTATGATTTATTTTTGTTATTGTCTAATTAGACAAAAATTAGAGAGTGGGGAAAAAAAAAGAAGTCCTCCAAAGTTGAGGGGGTGGAGGTGGGTTAAAAAAAACTTTTTGCAAATATGATTATCCTTTCTTAATAGTAAAATTTCTTTAATAGACTCCAGAAACATGTACAGGTAGTCTCTATTTTAAGATGTTCTTATGGTATCCAAAAGGAAATTGTGTTGAACACAGGCCACTGTTCATTTTGAATCTTGTTTGGGTCAACCTACTAAAGTCTGAGCAGGTACCAAAGAGCAGCTTTTGGCATCTCTTGCTGTACCTAGTCTAGATACCAGATTTTGATAAATAATTCACCCACAAACACGGGTGTACCAGGCGTATTCCAGAACTCTTCAACAGTTTGTATGAAGTACCTTGTGTTTAACTCCCGATTAGTTGTGGGTGTTTGTGTGATGTGTTTGTTCTGAACGAGTGGAGGTTTTAATGAAAGTTCAGGTCTCCTTCACCTCTGCGACTCCAACTCGTAATTCTCCACGCTAGTTCTTTCAGGAAGTGGAAATGACTATAAATAGCACAGGCATCGTCTTGCCCTTGCTGCTGTTCATCCTGCTGCGTCCCTGAGCAGCTCCCCCTTGCTTAACTGCTCTCTCTGGGTGATGTCCTTGCTCTGCAGCTACGTTTCTTACACATGGCTCCTCGGTAAACATTCCCTAATGCATTGCCTTATTGGGTTTGCATTAACGAGGTAGTGTCTTTATTGTATTCAGTGTCTTTAGTTTTTAATTCTTCTTCTCAGGTTTGACATGGGCATGATCACCAGTGTCTCATGCTCACTCTTGCTGAGTAGTGTCATTTTCTAGGCTTCTGCTACCAGCTTCTTTGCTGTGTGGTCTACATTTGTTGGCTGACTGTAATGTACTGGATTGATGCTACAGATGTTGGGTCAGTGTTTTATTTTTTTTTTAACTTGAAAGATTCCGTAATAGGACTTGCGCAATCTATCTGTTTATCCATTGAGAAAAGTTCAAGGTTGGTTTTGCTCAGTTTCTCATTATTAATAACCACGGTGGCCTTGTCTTGCTTTTGCTCATTCACGTCATGAACCGAGAAATCTTTCTGTTTATATAGCCTGCTGTAGTCTGATAGTGTCTGAGTCACTCCACACATCACTTTCAGCCTTGTTTGTGTTAAGAGTGCAGGATCATCTGAGGATTCACTACCAGTTTTCAATTGTTGAACACAGCAGACCATGACCATTTAAAGAGAAATGTGCCTATATAAATAGGTATGTCTGTCATAGCTATTTATACACTGCATTCATGGCAAAATTATTAGCAACTATAGTAGCTGTTGGTACTCATCCATGCAAAAATCAACAAATCAAGTCCTAAAAAAATTCATATTAATTTAGAACTGAAATGTACAATATGCAGTCCTACCTCTCATTGAAATTGATGAAAAATAAGTATCATGGGCTGGTTTTGCTTTCCAAATTGCACATTTTAAAGATTTGTTGAGTAAAGAAACTGTAATAAACCTAGAATCGGTAACCTGCATTAGAAGCAAATTCAGCAAGATCCAGATATGTTAATGTTCAACAGCACTTGACGTATAATAAATATAATGATATATTTTTTTAGCTTTATTCCAGCTGATGAATTTCAAAGTACTTTTCATCCACCTTGTGCGTAACAGCCTTTTTGAAGCCAGGTGTTTTTTGCAGTCTCATCAACTGCAATGCACTGTAAATGGAGTGAAAAGTTAATCTTGGCACCGACACAGAATCACACCAACTCCTCCCCTGTCTTTCCAGATATTCATAGTAAAGAATGTAAATAACTGTACCGTGCCGTCAGGCTGCTCAGAGTCTGACGGGCTGCTCCAGGGTGGAGTGGGCCTTCCCTGGACCGAGGTCCATCTCCTGGCTCGGCAGCAGCCCGCACTGTGACTGCGACGTGCAGTAAACTCAATCTGGGAGCCAAGAAGAGTGTGAAGTACCAAAACCCCAAATATCTGTAATACAGTTTCATATCATGATGCACCTTATTGACCAATGCCCCGAGTAAATCGAATTCTTTAGATTTAGTAGAACATTTTGTTTGAAGAGTGGGTGTTTTTTTTTCCCAGGTTTGTCAAACACTGAAAGAAAGTATCCAAACAGCACTTATTTCTTTGCTGAGCGATGCTGAGCCCGGTTTGTTTTACCTGCCGCAGAGTAAATATTGGCACCTGATCTTCGGAGGGTTGCGGTGTGGATCACGATGGCAAGGCGCATCAGAACATTTGGGTATTTTTGTCCTTGCTGTCTTCTGTGAAAGCTTCCTTACCCCCCTCCCTCACCCCCAAAAAGAAACCATGACTTATACCTACAGCTATTGTACAGTGTCCACAGAGGGAAGAGGGCATAGTCTCCATGCACGAGACTCTTCAGTCTTGGCTTTGTAAACTGTGTAGAGCTGAAGTGCTTGTGAGCTGTTGAAATGAGGAGCATGAATGTGCCGCTTCCAGCTGACAGCCTGTTCTTGCAGTGTATTTCCAGCTCTGGGCAAGTGCCGGTCAAGTCCTGATTGCTTCTCATTTATCTCTTCTTATCGCCCTGCTCCAGTGTTTCTCAGCGGTGCTGGTTACTGCAATGAATGGCAACACTATCCAACAAGGGACGACTTCTCCTTCCGTCGCGCAGCCCAGGGGCTGGAAGGAGTTCTGTGAGCTGCACGCCATCGCCACGGCCAAGGAGCTCGCCCAGCAGTACCGGCGGTTCGCCCGCGAGCGCGGGCAGCACGATGTCGTGGCGGCCGACAGCTTCTCCAGGCAGTTCGCGGAACTCTTTCAGCAGTATTTCCGCCACGAGGTCGGCGGGGAGGCCCCGGCCATGACGGGGCGCTACCGGATCGCCTCCTTCTCGGGGGCGCAGGACTACCGCGAGGCGCGGAGGCACCCGGCCGAGGGCCCGCAGGCCTTCCTGGCGGTCCTGGCCCCCAAAGTGGAGCCCCTGGTGGCGCCCCGGGAGCAGGAGAGGGGCGTGCGGAGGGCCCCCGCTGACACTAACTGCCCCGCGCGCGCGCTGCCCCGGAGCCGCAGCTCCGAGGAGCTCT